GGATTATGATTGGTTGGTATTAAAACTTAAAAATCATATTCAAAGAGTTTAAAAAACCATTTATCCAGACAGCGAGTTTTATCGATAAATTTCTCTTTTGGCCCAGAAAGCAGGAAGCTTTTTTTAAAGTCTAGCGATTTAAATATGATGCTGATTACATAGCGTTGCACAAAATTTTAGATGCACGATTTCTATTACAATCAGACCTAAGTTCTATTGCAAACAGTCGTTCGTAGAAGCTGAAAATAGGAATTCATCACACAAAATAATTTGGTTTCTCCGACACTTCAACGAGAGAACACTTTTGTAAAAAAAAAAAAACAGCATGCATTCAACCATTTTTACCTCCAAAACATGTATTATTGCTGATTCGCGCTTAGAAGCCGATATATGCTTATCTGATGTCTTAATACCGGAAGATGATTTATGACAAGAGAGAAAGCGTCCATTCAATAGCTTTAGCTGCTGATAAAATATATCGATCTCTTCTGAAGAATATCTCGAACTTTTTAACAACATCACTGACGAAAACTTTTTCCAGAACCTAGGAAAACAGCGCAACAAAAAGTTCATAAACGACATAAAAAACCACCGACCGGTGTCTGTCTTATGCTCGTTATCATCAGCTCTCAAAAAATACACAAAAAATTTAGGAGTTCTTTTCCGCCAGATTATTAGCAAATCAACATAGCGCAAAAACTACTCGCCGGCTCCACAGCTGTTAAAATACTGTGAATGTGCCTTTTGCATTACTGATCAAAGTAAAACTCTAATCTTCTTGTTCCTAGAAATTGCGAAGGCTATTGATTCAATCATTCATACCATTATATTGGAAAAACTTTGCCTTTAATTGCGTCTTTAATGGCAGTTAGTTGAACTAATTTTTTGCATTCTATTTATCAAGAAAGTCTTATTTTGGGTGGCAGGACAATCTACCCTATTCCAAACTACCCTATACCATTCTACCCTATGCCATTACACCCTACATACCAGATTATGCCACGGTCGGTGCAGATTATGCCAGTAGTAAACCAAGACGGTGCTCAAAAATCATTATAGGAGAGATGTTTGAGATGCGTAACGTGAGGAATAGAAAAGAGTTCAGATATAATAAGTATTTGCATACTTGGTTCAACCTGCATTTTTCTGAGAAAGTTTTCCCAAATTCGGGCCGGACTATGTTTCATAATATGCATGAATGCACAAGTGTAGTTAATAGAGCATTTTAGACCTTTTCCTGAGGAAAAACCCAAAAAAGTCCAATAGAAGAGTATTCATATGAGGAGTCATTCACTGAGCAAAAAAAAACACTAAAAATAGCAAAACATAATAATTGTTATTGTGAAAAAAACGAAGCCCCCATATCATGCGTTAGAGACTAATTTTAATACAGAGCTATAACGAAGCTTTGCTCCACTTGTGAAACAACGCATACAAAGCATGACAAACTATCCTAGAGAAAACCGTAGAAAAAAAATCGAAATTAAATTTCTGAAAAAATAGATCTACCAAAAATTTAGATTTGGTCTTCAAAAACTATCCTTTCAAAAAAATTTGCAAAAAAAATAAGATATTGATTGCTAAATAGGCAGCGGAACAAAGCTAACAAAGCCGTCAGTTCTTGAGCGGACACTTAGCGCCGAAAATGTTTCTTTTTATAATAAAAAAACTAACAAAGTTAAACGCTTTCAAGTCTCCCTCATAGCATTAATGTTAAACTTTTTGCTTCTCGAAAGACTCAAAAAAAGGCGGCTGAGCAGATAAATTATCAGCCAAAAATTTAAGGCCACCTAAAAAAAAACAGAAGAAACTGATATACTGAAATCGGTAAATTTACAACCAACATTAACACGGAGGCGTAGCGGAGTTTCCCATCACTTGCGATATAACACAAACATAAATGAACATCAGAAGTCGAAAGCAAATTAAAATTGTTGAAAAAAATTAGTGAATCAAAACTTTCGCATGTCTCGATAAAAATTAACTTGGGGGCCAGCTTAAGCAGGAAGTATCTATTTGATATTTTTTTGAATTTCTTATTTTGATACGGGATGATATGAGTAATTTCAAAAACTCGAAAGAAATTTTTCGAGAAATAAGAACTTTGCTAACATTTTTCTTTAAACAAATTAGGCGTCGTCGTTCCTGCAGGTAAAAACCTAGCAACCAATTCCTTTGAATTAACATTTCATCTCAGATTTGATAGAGTGGTTTCTAAGAAAAGTCAAAAAGTTTAGGTGAAAAAACAGTGAAAAGTCTAAAAACCACTTTTCCAAGAATCATAGCTTCTCGTGAAAAAAAAATTGGGCGTACTGTTCTTGGTTCATATTTTGAATTTTATACATGCCGCAAAAAAAAAGTCCTACTGCGACTCGAACCCTGAGCCTTATGGCGAAAAAGTCAACGCGTCTTCAGGCCAAGTGTAATAATAATAAAGCAAGTTCAATTTCTTGTAGGAAAAGTTGTTTACGGGGAAAACTTTTTATTCCCAATTACAAGACACTTGCTCTCGCCAGCGTAAAAACAAATTTCGACTAGAATGGGCATTTGAAAAGCGAACGTGCGCTAAATTTGTCTGTTAACTGACAAAATTGAAGATAGAGGAAGATGACAACGAAAATCAGTCATCCAGTGATCAAAGTTGTTTACCGGGAAAATTCTAAAACCCAACTACGTCATCCTTGCTCATCACGAGAGTAATTATTAAACAGATGCGAAGCAGAGCTTCACATCACTTGAGATCAAACACAAATATAACAACTTTGCATACAAAACACATAGCCAACTGACAGTTGGAAAAGAGTAATTAACGCAAGGAAATAGAAAAAAAAATTAACTTAATTTTTTTTTCAAAAAACTGCAGCTTTGGAAGTTCACAGAAAAAATATATGCCCTTTAAAAACCTTGTAATTTCAAGAACAATTCATGATTGGTGCTTTTTGATAAAATTAACCCAATTTCAGAAAACTAGATTATTAGGATGTCATGTGGCAAAACGTCCTCAAAGACCTCGAGATGGTGATGACCGAAGGGGTCAAGATTGGAATGGAATTGAACCTGAAAAACAAGTCCGAACTCATCGTTTTCTGTGATGATGCACGAGAGAGGGATTCGATTATCCAATCTTTCCTGGCGGTTTTTCCTCATATTACCATCACTGAACCCACAGAATTAGTCCTCTTAGGTGCTCCTATCGGCGAAAACGCACAAGAAGCCGTTGTTAATGAGAAACTTGATGAACTCAGTCGAATGTGCAGTCGATTGCGATCCCTACCTTCCCATGTTGCTTTCTTTCTTTTAAAAAACTGCTTTTATATCCCGAAACTGATGTACATACTGCGAACCTCAACTCTTTTCCTTAAAACTACTTCCTTACACCGATTTGACGAGTGCATTCGAAATACATTGCAGGCTATTTTCAATGTGATGATTGACGATCCCCGATGGGAGCTCATGACACTGCCTTGCAAGCTGGGCGGAATGGGAATTATGCAGGTACCCAAACTCGCCATTGCAGCATATGCGTCATCTGTATTCAGCACTCTCGACATTTGTAATACCATATATGCTAGCGAACCCACTACAGAATCACTAATTCAAGATGCTATCCAACGTTGGCGAAACAACGTGAGCACCGACGTGCCTTTGCCAGAACGCAAATATAAGCAAAAAAAGTGGTCACTACCAATGATGCTTCAACAGGCCGAACTGCTCAAGGATTCAGGAGACAGTGCCCGCTTGAATGGATTAATGTGTCCCGGAGCTGCTGACTGGCTCAACGCACTACCTTCACGATCACTCGCACTCCAACTTAGTGATGATGAATTTCGCATTGCCATTGGATTTCGACTTGGCGCACCAGTCTGTACACCACACAAGTGCTCTTGTGGCGATATAGTCGATTCCTACGGCAAACATGCGTTAGTTTGCAAAAAGAGTAGATCAGTTCATGCCAGACACTCTATGGGCAATCACATCATTCATAGAGCGTTCATCCAAGCCAATATTCCATCGACACTCGAGCCGCAAGGACTTCCGGTCTGACCGCAAGAGACCCGACGGACTGACACTGGTGCCATGGTCACATGGGTGAGCGTTGGCATGGGACTTTACATGTGTCCATAGGCTAGCCTCCTCTTACACGCAACTCGCTGGTAAAGAGGGACCAACTGTGGCAGATGCGGCCGAGACCCGTAAACGGTCAAAATACGAATCAATATCTGAGTCTCACATCTTCCAACCAGTTGCAATTGAAACCCTTGGAGGACTGGGAACCGATACGCTGCGTTTCGTCACTAGCCTGGGCAAGAGAATAACACAGGCTACCGGGGACGACAGAGCGACTCTTTTTCTGCGGCAGAGACTTGGGATTGCTGTTCAGCGGGGCACTGCAGCATGTGTCCGCGAGACTCTGGTGGTGGAAGTCGATGACCCGATTGGCGCCGACTTCCGGCGATAAACAAGTTCAAACTGTTTTAATCTCCATTTAAAATGTTGCTTTTCATATGACTCTGGTGCTTATTTTTACCATTTCAAACTTTTTTTATATGTGTCTGAATTCACATTCTTTTCATCGATTATTAGGTAAGTTTTTATTCACCCTGGGAAATCTAAAAAATTAATTCAACTTCGAAACGAGAAGTCTTTCATTTTTTTCCGCTATTTCCACGTTCCTATTTGGAGAAAGCTAATAACTGTACTTTCAGCAGATGAATTTGAATTCAACTCAAGAAGTGCATACATAACTAAGTGCGTTCATAAATGCATTAATATGTATGAATGCACAACAGTGGTCATAAGAGCATTAGACTTTTTCCTGAAAAACAAACAAAAAAATCACAAAGAACAACATAGTCCTCACTACGTTCATTACTCTCAATAATGGCTGAGGATTTTATAATGAGTGGCGTTTCTTTTTATCAATTGTTTTTACTATCCCATTATCCTATCCTGCATAAAAACTGTGGCGCCCAAAAAGTCAGCTGTCGAAAGGAAAAAGGTTTTAAACAATTATTTGTCAATTTCAAGCCTCGTGTAATACTATCATTCTTTTTCAGATTAATTCTGTCCTTGTGATTTACAGGTTAAATGGTAACATTAGTGGCGGCAAGGGCTTTCAAGTCTTTCAAGCATTGCGCTATCCCTTCTTTCTGAGACCTGGCGTCAATAGTCTTGTGAACTTCCTGCTTCACCCAGGAAACCATCTGTTTCTGAACTACCTGCTCCTCCAAAGATTGGAGAGCGACTTGGTAATCCATTCGTCGCTTAAACGCCTCAAAAACTTGATCCTGTCGTTGACGGAACTCAGCTTCAACCATGTTTTCTGCGTTCGCAGCATACGCCGGGAAGATTTCTTTGCCAGCTTCTGCTCTGACCGCGTCTTCATCGAGAGCGTCGGCTTCGTTCGAGAACTGCTCAATCTTACTCTTCTTTAATTTGTCCAAAACCATCATTTCCTCATTGTATTTTGTTCGGAAATATTTGTCCAACTTCGGGCCAACTAAATAAGCCAGCATTGGTGGGACAGTGAGGAACGACAGAACAGCTCCGAACTCTTCTTGGAAAATCAAAATCTCCTTCGACAACAGAGTTACTGCACCTCCCCAAAGCAACATATAGGGCCCCAAGACACCAGTACGCTCGTGCATGAAGTTGAAAAACGCTTCCGGTACCATGCCCAGTCTATATTTTGAGGTATCGTAGGACATATGATACTTCAATTCCGGGTAATCTTTTTGTGGCCCACGTGGTTCCGTTCCTTCTTTAACTACAGTAAAATTTTGAAACTCACAGGGTTTAGCCGGCCAATTACAAGGAAGACATCCCTGGTTTTCATCTTTGAACTCATATACGTCCGGAATATCGTCTTCTTTGGCAACCACTGCTCCGGATCCCTGGGATGCTGCTCTGAGGGGCGCGAAAGACCTTGACAGTCTTGAGGTCATGAGAGGGATAATTGAGCGTTTGAACAGCATTATTTTCTGAAATAACAAACATGGACTTGACAAAAACGACACCAACAGAAACAGTCATAATGTTAATTGCCACGCGAAATTCGCTCCAAGAGCACGTTCATTTTTGAAAATGAACGCTATCTTATGCAACAGCTGTCAGTTGTCCTGCAAAAAGGGAACTCCACCCTCCTCCTGTCCCGGTACTGCTCATGAGTGTTTTTCCTGTTCTATGCAAATCTGGTAACGTTTTTCTGTGTATCTGGCGTCATTGTAAATTTGTTTCTGTTATTTCGAATGTATGGCATTTTATAAGCCCGCTCCTGAATTTACAGCTTTGTTCTTTTTGAAAAAGTGTGAATAACAAGATGTGTCTGATCAGTGAACTTATTAGGCAATTAAGTGATACAGAGCAAACGAAATCAGGGCAAGCAGGTTATGAAACAATTATTCATTTGCTGTCTAATTTTCTTTTGTTTTCTCATCTTTCAAAGGGTAATCAGAAGGTCAAAAGTATCATAATAACTGAAGTTACAGTCAGGAGTCCCTTCATCACGTATTCTAGTCAAAATCCTTGCAATTTTCTAGATATGGAAGTGATAATGATAAAAGAAGATGACAAGTGTTGAAGTCTTTTTCACTTGAAATCGACACGGGTTACGTTTCTTCAATGAGAACACGCAACTCGACACTAGAAAATACAAAATACAGGTGTTACAAATAAAAAATTTCGTCGAAAGTTACTTTGTCATTTATTGCTCCGAGTACGCAAGCGGCGTTCGAAATCTGTATTGCCAGGGAGATTCTCTGTTTTGAAAAGCTGCCTGCTCTGGGTTCCTCAGTGCATATGCTTGGGTTCTTACAAAGCTTGCTCAAAAAAATTTCTGTGCTGGGGCCGGCCGCGTCCTGAATCTCAAAAGCTAGCAGTTGAAAAAGATATCCATCATCTACAAGATCTTGATACTTGTCTTTTTTTCGCTCTTCAGCATCAGCGGCAGCCGTACCAGGGTTACAAACAGACCCGGCATTAATCCTACGAGGAGCTAAGGAGTCTACCACCGTTACATCCCACAAGAGCTGCTCACCAACAGCCCATGGAACGAGCCTCAATTCGTCTGGTCGCTTCTGATCGGCCCTGTAGAGGTGTCGTGGTTCTATAACAGACGGAATGTGAATAGAAGATAAACTCTGCTTTATAAGGGCATTCAGGTTTGAATGCCTAGAGAATCTCCCTGCACTTTTGAGGCAATAAGACCATGCCAACCATACTCGGTAACGTCTTTTCCGCCCACGCATTTATGCCGTTTGCAAATTTTTGAGCCTAATCGAATTCCTATCGCATTTCTGGGTTGTTGTTTCGACAGTTTTAACCTTAAGTTTTTGCACGGGATGACGTTCAACCATTGGGAGCCAAATCTATCTTGGAACGCGTTGAATCTTTTTACGTCCGTTGGCTCGAGTCGTAAAATCAAGTCTGCAATTTCGCTGTCAAAAATTGGCTCTTTCCAATTTTTTTGGATTTCATTTTCCGGAGCCAATTCAATTTTGCCGAGTTCAAACCACCGTTTAAGCCCATCATCATAGGTTCCATCCACATGCTCCAAACCAAAGATTTCGCTCAAGCCATTTTTGGCTGCCGGGAGAACTGCTTGCAAAAACTGGTTATCATCCATTTTCACATAAGTGACCTTGCATAACGAATTGCTTATTAATTTATCGTAGCGTTCCAAAAAATCTTTTTGCAAAAAACAAGGGATTTTACTCAGGAGGTAAAAGCCATAATGAGCGTCTAGTTTGTCAATGACATCCGAGATTTTTTCAAGCTCCTTAATTTTTTCGTCGAGCAACTCTTTTCGGCAAAGTTCGACGATTGGAGATCCTAAAATGAGAAATTTTTTTTAATGTTTATTTTGGCGCATATTTTTCGAAATTGTGTAAAAATTGAATTATGCTGTGTACTCGTAGTCGGTCCCAAAAAAACAAAGTTCGCAATTCTGTGTTCAAGCTCAGGCCGTAAATTTGTTCCGATTTCAGAATCTTCTTAAGGTCCCGGAGTACTACCATATAGTCGTCGGCTATATTTCCATCACCTAAATACCAGATGTTAATTTTCGACTCCAACTGTTTGACTAGTGTCTGAATTGTTTCCGCAAAAAGGGGTGGGGTTTCAGGATCATTTTGCTGAATTCCGTCTTCTGACATTATGACAGAACTTCCGTAAAAAAGGTAACTAGATTTACTACACGCGCAATGGGTGTAATTATACAATTCGGGGCGATTTGAATAAACATGACTCAGCATTGTTTCTCTATTTAGAGAGTTGAAGGCATTCTTAAAATCTAGTTTTAAAAGAACAGTGCATTTTGGATTGTCGTCGCGTTCATTAAGGTTTCGAAACGAGTGTGCCGCTATTTCTGCTCCTCGTTTGGTACTGCATTCTAACTGTACGTTTCCGAAAAAAATTTTGTCGCTCGGAGAGTGCCTTGCTTCCAGCGCATTTAGACGCGATACGTCTCAGCGTGTTGCTTATGGCAATCGGTCTCAACCCTCCGTCTATCTTTGTGAGGGCGATAAGCTTTGCGCCAAAAAAAGGTCTTAGGGTTTCGGGTATTTTGTCATCTCCAATGAGGTTAATCAGCTTAGTAAGCGATTTCAGAAAATTTAGACCTGCATTGTTATTCGACTTACTAACAAGATCTTTGACCTGCTGCTGATCCGTTCGGAAAAGACATTATCGCTTTGTATAGGTCGAAATTGGTTACGAAAAAATCATCCACATTTTCGGGATTTGGAACTGCAAATTTGGCTCGCTTAGGGTGCTTAGACATAAATTTTTGATGGTTATCAGTTGAAAAAGGAGCAATTTTGTCATTCGAAACAGCAAGCCTGATTCCTCCCTTTACATATCTTTCATCGAGCTTACTACTTATTAGCTTTATTCTCTGCTCGAAGTCACTCGGAGGCGGGCTTAAAGCTTGGGGATGGGGTTTTGGAAGTTACACGTCATTTGCTTGATTTTTTTGATATATCAAAGAGCTCATGCTTATGGTCTGTTTGCGTCCACTTTTTTTCGGTTGCTTCAAAAAAAAACAAGAAAGACGTTAAAAAATTAGCCATTTTTCAACATCTTCTACATTGTAGACGATGTCAATAATTTTGTCCGACAGACTTTCCGCCAAAGGAACACGCGAGTTTTTTGGTACTCTCTTGAGTACTCGGACATTTGAGATGGCTGTATTAACATAATTGTCTAGCACTAAATCATTACCTATTTTTGCTTTATTACCATACTTCACATCAACACATAAAGGACATTGAAACCATCGGGTTTTCTTAGAGTCGGTAAGAGAAATATTTACACAACTGATATGATACCAACTAGAGCAACAATCACATCCAATCCAATTTATCAGTCCTGGAGGTTTTGAGCAATCTTTGCTTGTACTCTCTTTGTTGTTTTTCCTCATCAAGGTAAAAAAAGGATTTTGACTGGACTTTAGGGGACTGAACTAACCCATGATAAGCGGTTAGTGGGAATTTTACAAATCAGCAAACAAAAAAATAAAAGGCATTTACATTAATTTAAATTTTAAAATCGAATTACAAAAATCAAAAACAAGGAACAATCTCACCTACGCTCGGTAGGTCCAGCGGTGCACCACCAGACTCTTCAAGCCAGTTTCAGTTTCCCACCTCTCCTCAGCAAGCCACTTGATAGACCTGTCTCTAAAATCCCTCAGAGGGCGCTCCACAAACAGGCACAAACATCAATCATAACAAATCTATTTAATAAGTTTATCACAACAATTATAAACAATTGCTGTCTAATTCGTTCAGTTACTCACAATTTCTCAAATAGCCTACCTTTTCAGATTTATTAGTCTACTTGTTGTGATACACTTATTAAAAAGTTTCATTTTAGTTGACGATAACGGTAGACTAGTATGAAGGCCTGGGACGTCATTTTAGAGACAAGCTCGTCAAGCTTGTAGCCGGACACCTCCGCCGGAACCTCCACCCGTTAAAAGCCAGTTTGTAATCGCTTTCAATTTTTTATTGCTATTCGTTTTTAAAATTCAAGTTCTTACAACCCATTTTACAATCTATTCTTTCTCTTGCTTTGCCTTTTTTGTGCCCTGTTTAGTGAACGTCCGTGACGAGGTACAGGCCAAATTGGCTACCCAAGTGGAGCAAGAAACTGGTAAAAGGAAACTTCGGGACCAAGTTCTGCAGCCTCAAAGATGCCGGAGCCACGGTTCAAACGCGCAGAGGTGCAAAGCTTACCCCCTTGCCGCTACTGTCACGCGCTACACCTCGCAGAAATTGAACTGTGTTACCAATGTAGCCGGCTTAAATGATAACTCCTTTACGCTTTCAGAAATGCTTATGATTACAGATTTTTGATCAATTTAATATTTCAAAAATTTAACCCAAATGCTTGTCCCCAAAATCCACCTTTCTGCAAATAATCACTTTATAAATTGAATAATTGGTGGTCTATGATTTCTTTGTTTCGCCTTATAAAAACATTTCATCACTCAAAAATCAGACTTGTTTCCCCCGATCTAAACGTTAATTTTAGAGCTAATACGTTTTGTAATGGTGGTATTCAGTTTTCCTTCCATGGTACAAAAATTTTTAAATATTGCTCGCTCAGCTGACTTGTATGTATTTACCATTTTTTTTGTGACATTCGACCAGAATGGCGGTCAAAATGCACGATGAATTCGAAATATTATTGAAACAGTTCAGTGGTAGGATTGGCTGTTTCAGAGGATTAACAGACTTATTTGATGAACTGATCGAATTGTGAGAGGTCGGTTTTAACTTAATCTGAAATTTAGAAATTTCAATTGTAAGGACACGTGACCATTTTTATTTTCACGAAAACAAAAAAAGCGCAAAAATCAACAGAAGAACAGTTTTTGCCAGTGAAAACAGATATACGACACGAATTAGAATTACGATCGATATTTTTGTTGGGAGAACATTCTGAAGTCTAACAATTGTGCAGCTTCAATCGTTAC